CTCGGGGTGCCCTGGACGGGGAGCGGGGCGACGGGGTTTCCCCCTTTAATGATGTTTTCCAGCCCCCAACATCCCCAGGGTGCCCTGGACGGGGAGCGGGGCAATGGGGTTCCCCCCTCGAATGATGCTGTCCCAGCCCCAGCATCCTCAGGCATGCCCTGGACAGGGAGCAGGGCGATGGGGTCCCCCCTTTAACCCTCAACATCCTCAGGGTGCCCTGGACAGTGAGCGGGGTGATGAGGTTCCCCCCTAATGATGTTCTCCAGCCCTCAACGTCCCTGGGGTGCCCTGGACGGGGAGCAGGGCAATGGGGTTCCCCCCTCGAATGATGCTGTCCCAGCCCCAGCATCCCCAGGCAAGCCCTGCACAGGGAGCGGGGCGATGGGGTCCCCCCTTTAACCCTCAACATCCTCAGGGTGCCCTGGACAGGGAGCAGGGCGATGAGGTTCCCCTCTAATGATGTTCTCCAGCCCTCAACGTCCCTGGGGTGCCCTGGACGGGGAGCAGGGCAATGGGGTCACCCCCTCTAGTGATGCTCTCCAACTTCCCAGCATTTCCTTTTCCCTTTTTCTCCCAGCGGTAGTTCCTGGCAAGGGTGTCGGAGGGAGCTGGCACAGCCCCGACTGCACCTCCGTTCTGAGTCACGCCAATACCCGGGTGGCGGTTGGGTCACCCGGGCAGCGCAGGTGCTCCGATGGCCCAGGTACACTGCCCCGCCATCAACACCCAGGAGCAGGAGCGTTGTACTTGCGCTGGGTTATTGCTCCAGATAACTGTACTGTTTGGCTGATAACAGCCTCAGAAAGTACAGGCAGTGCTGGGGCAGGAATACAGCCCATTTCTGGGGGGGTTGTAAAAAGGAGGATGGCTTTTGCAGTGGTACGGGTTAAATTGTTCTCTTCCTGGTTCCAGATCAGTATTGTCGGGGTAGAAGGTACTTGTACGAGGGTCCTGTTTCTGGCCCAGGATAACACCTTCAGAGATGCTTGTCTGAGGTCCCGGTAAGGGCATGGCTCTGCCATGAACATCCATCCAGGCCAGCTCCGTGCTCTCACCCGGGCACGCTGTGGAGTGCGGCAGAGGGCATGGGAAGCATGAATTCCCTTGTCACTGGTTGTGGGCCTGGCTGCCCTTTCCCTGTGCGCTTATTTAGGAGCTGAGGCTGTTGTGTCCTGCTGATGTTTCACTTGTATCAAGCGCGTCTGAATGGTGAGAGAGGTTCACCCTTAACAGCTCTGCAGCCTGAGAGCCATGGCAAGGAAGGACTGAATATCCCCTGACACGCCGGTCCGGATACAGAACGGGTGTGAGAACGCAAACCCTCTGATTTCCCTCACTCTCCCTGTTGTGCTGGAGGTGGGCACGGGGAAAACCTGACGCTAAATCAATGAAGATACGATGGGCTCTTAAGCCTGGCATCTTTCTCACTTTGATGCCTGTGACCAAAGGAAGATTTTTGGCTGTTTCTTTTTCCTCATAGAATCATTAAGGTTGGAAAAGACCTCTAAGATCATCGAGTCCAACCGTCAACCCAACACCCCCATGCCCACTAAACCATGTCCCTCAGCGCCTCATCTACGCGTCTTTTAAATACTTCCAGGGATGGTGACTCAACCCCTTCCCTGGGCAGCCTGTTCCAATGTTTCACCACTCTTTCAGTAAAGACATTTTTCCTCACGTCCAATCTAAACCTCCCCTGGCACAACTTGAGGCCATTTCCTCTCGTCCTTTCGCCAGTTACTTGGGAGAAGAGACCGACCCCCCCCTCGCTACAACCTCCTTTCAGGTAGTTGTAGAGAGCGATGAGGTCTCCCCTCAGCCTCCTTTTCTCCAGGCTGAACAACCCCAGCTCCCTCAGCCGCTCCTCATCAGACTTGTTCTCCAGACCCCTCACCAGCCTCGTTGCCCTTCTCTGGCAGTTGCCCCCAACCTCGATTCTGCCTGATCTGTCCAGGCCACAGAAGTGAGGCTAAGCCCATTGCCAAGTGCATACATGTACATAAGCAAAGTGGGCAGTAGCCATGGGCTGAGACCTCCCAGGTTCCTTTATGTCACCGAGCAGGTCATGGTGACCCGCGGATGACAGTCCCTAGGATATCTTTCGCCCTGTCCCACTGAGCCACCCACCCCAGCTACCTCCCTCGGCTTCGCACACGGCATTTCCTGGGCGGCTTGAGCAGACGTAGGTGTGCTGAGCAGTGCCGCAGACGGGTAGGACCACAGAGGCAAGCGGTGGGATGCGTTGCCTCGTGTCCCTGACAGATGGCAAACGTATTATCCTTTAAGACAGCCGCTAGTCACAGAGCCCAGCGCTGCTGTTTTGACACTGACTCAACCGTGAAGACGCATCTCCAAGGTGACTCTGTGCTCGGGAGCGAGGATGTATCGCGTAAATTTGCTTACATTCAAGGACACGTGCTCTTTCCCATTGTTTGGATCCTGAGAAATTTTTCCCCAGCAGGGCTTGCTGATATTGTCACCCTTGTACAGTCAAATGGCGTTGCCACTGAGGTTCCAGCGCGTGGCTCCACCAGTGGTGGGTTGTGCTGGTGTAATGGAGAACACTGTGCCTGAAGGGAGGTCTTGTGTGCGGTCCGTCGGCGCAGGCTGTGGCTGGACGTTGCGTTGAATCCTGTGTTACTGCAGGCAGCTGCAGTCTCTTCCCACACCTCCTCACCCCTGCCTGTCCGTCCAAAGAGGGAGTCGCTTCAGTGGCTCGATCCAGCAGGAAAACCACATATCAGAAAAAAAACAACCCCTCAAACCTGAAATAATTATTCCTTTGGATCAACCAGCCGGCCAGGCAGCCGTCAGTTCTCTAATTGTGGGGAAGGGAACAAGACCTGGGGAGACCTGGGGCGGGGAGGACCTCCCTCTCAAAGCCAGCCTGCAGCTACGGTGGATTAAAGGCAGCGTCAACCCATCCTTCCCCAGACGTGCCATGGGGTTGTGTGTGTGCCTGTATTTTTCCGCTGCCGACCTGACCGTGAATGCCTGCATAATGGGGAAACATTATAGTACCAGCTGCAGTTTTATTTAGAAGGGAGTAATGAATATTTTGTTCCAACAGGCTTTTGAAACGAACGGCGGCCATCTGGTTAAAAGTTTTGCTCTCAGCCATGTCATGATTCCCCAAAGTTGTAATCGAGCACCTCTCTGCCCTGGTCATGCCAAGCGGATTTATTTTTAGGTCTGGCTATTGAACAGGCTCCCAGTTTTCAAAGGCCATTAGAATCCTGCTCTCGTTATTAACAGGCGCCCTGGAAGCGAGGACTCGCTTTTGCCTGGAATCGGTAAAACTTCTCGCTGGTGCTAACAAAGCTGAGGCAGATACTAATGAGGGTTTGAGGGCAGACGCTGCCTCAGACAACGCTGATCCTTGAAGAGCACAGAGCTGGCTGCAGAACCAATTGTACTGCTCTTTACAAAAAAAAAAAAAAGTAAGCTGTTGCTTCTCTTTTATTAGGTATACATCCCCAGAGAGTCGTTTTAAAGCTCCAAAGTACCGTTTTCTCTGCCATTGGATACTCTCTGATACTTTGGGGAACAGTTTCTATTTTCTGCTGTCAAGCTGTTTGACTGCGCTGATTTTTTTGTATTACAGCAGCAACAGGTCACGGGTGAGATCTTTTTTTCCCAGGTGCCTACACACAACACACGTGTGTAATCTTACCTTCCCCAAAGAGAGACGCGGGAGCCCAGGCAGAGGGAGAACTTAGCCTGCTCCGTGGTCATGTTTTAAAGCTGCAGACCGGCTCCTAACCCGATTGATGGGTCCTGAGGTAACTGGATTGTGTGCTGGAAAGTAGCAGGAAAGCAGTTTGCCCCAGAGGCTACCCAGTCTGTATATCTGTCTGTGTCCATTTTACTGGGGTAGGTGAGTTAGGTGTGTGTAGCTAGATACCAAGACCAAAAGTTTCCTAGCGGATTCCAGTGTAAGCCCTGGTTGTACTGGAAATGACAGTCACCCCCGCGGGCTGAAGGGGCATTTCCAATAGGAGAATTCAACAGCGTCTCGATTTTTTTCTCCTCTGCAGCATGGACAAGGACAGCCAGGATGTTCACCAGGTGCTGAACGAGCTCAAGAACAAGTTCCAGGAGATGAGGAAGCTGATCAGCTCCATGCCCGGCATCGGTGTGAGCCCAGAGCAGCAGCAGCAGCAGCTGCAGAACCTGCGGGAGCAGGTCCGGACCAAAAATGAACTGCTGCAGAAGTACAAGAGCCTTTGCATGTTTGAAATCCCCAAGGAGTAGGAAGGGCGCAGCTCTGCTCTCCGGGTCCGAGATACCTCCTCTTCTGGCTGAACAGGAGAGAAAAAGGTGGCAGAAGTTTACTTTTCTTTCTTTTATGCTTTTTTTTGGTCGCGTTGCTCTGAAGTTGTGTCTGTGTAGATCACAGGCGTGTGACACTGAACCAGAACACCGTGTGCTTCACGTGTGATGATTACAGCAGTACGTTCACTTTGATCTGCTGTAGGACTGTACATTTATATATGCATCTCTTCTGTTTTCTCTTGGGGTGGGATTTTTTTTTTTTTTTTTACATTCGAGCAAGCGGGAGACATTATGTTTTCTCCTCGCTAAGGGTCAAAGTACCTGCTGGCTAACTTCAACAAGAAAAAGAGGGCATTTTCTGCAATTTTTTTCACTTCTGTGCTGACACAAGTGACCAGACATCAAAAGGGAGCATAAGAGGGAAGCGTGAGCTGTTTGGCCCTGCTCCTGGAAAGGGTCTCTGGGGCGCTTTCCAGTCTGTGTGTGTCGAAAGAGGAATGGTTGCTTTCAGTTACTTCTGTATTTCTCTCTTTTTCTCTCTTTTTCAACAGGTGATGGTCGTATCTGAGATGAGTAAAGATTTAGAAATTCCAAACTGCCCCCCTTGTGTATTCACTGAGTGGATGTGGGCTGAGCAGGGGCAGGACTTTGGCAGCACAGAGGACGTGCATAGCCTGGGCCCAGCTCCTGGGCTTACATCGCTTTTTGGGAAGCAGGGTGGCTTGGGAGAGCAAAGCAGGGACTGCCAGGGGAGTGGATTTCGGTGGGCTTTGCGTCCGTAAATCTCCTTGGGCAAGTGCAGCTTGTGGGCAGTACGCTGGGCATCTTGCTCTTAAAACAGAGGAAGGGCAAACAGAATCAAAACAAAGGGCATAAATGACAAGGGCTTTTAGTTACTCCATGCGTGACAGAAGTCAGGCTCAACAGGACGGGTCAGTTCCACATCTGAAGTGCTCCAGGGGCTTCCCGCAAACACAAGCGTTTGAGCGGCTTGAACGTTTGCCAGCGGCTGACGGAAAGCTCTCAAATGTTGTTATCGCGTTCAGACGGACCTCGGGGCTCCCTGCCCTCTGTCCTCCTCCTGTTAGCTCTTACGGCGGCAGGTGACAACCCGGTAAGCAGCACCGCATCTCGCCGACGAACAAAGATGGGTCGGGACCTTGAATCTAACTGTTCTCTGAATTACCCTGAAAGATGGTGCAGGTCAGTAGCAGAAGAGGGGAAAATCCAGCTAGCGAAATACAGTATCTGTTGAGAACCAGCATCCGAAGGCAGGTAGCGCTCGTGCCTTCGGAAGAAGAGAAGCGAGGTCTGTTTGGGTAGGGTTTACCTTTCCTAAACCAAAAGGGCAAGTAATTCTGCTCGTTGGGAGCTGGGATGGCTGCGACCCACCTGTAGCCTAGAGATTACTCTGTCCCCGCTGGAATACTTTACTAGTACTTTCTTTGGGAAGGTGCCAGTGTGTAAACTCTGAGTAAAGCAGAACACCGAGATAAACAAAGCACAATGTACGCTCTTTTTATTACTGAAATTACCTTTCTGCCAGCCATTGCGTGTCCCAGCTCAATAAATTCTTGCGTCTCATGCCTGGACAGTGATTTCCCTTTTTTTGGCAGTTGCTGTTCCTGTGAAATCAGGGCATATGCGGAGCTGGAAGAAACAACGTGTTTCCAAAGAAATGTCTGGCACTTAGCACGGGAACAAGTTAACTCTGTCAACTTGAATCCAAGTTTCAAACGAAACTGGAGCGGTTTGGTTTGCAGTCTCGCTCGCCCACCTTAGTTTTGTGGCTTTGATAGAATTTTGTTGCCGTTGATACGTATTAACGTAGATTTGTTTTGCCGCTTGGGGGGGGGGGGGGGGAGAACGGGGGCTGAAAAAGAACTGAAACAGAAGCTGGAGCCAGGGAGAGCTGTTCTTTGAAGAGCTTTCCCCTTTCCCTTTCGCTTCCAGCAATGGTTACTGCGACTTGTTATTAGGAAGAGATTAAAAACCATCAGATGCAAAGGTGACCTTTCAAGCAAAGTACTTCCTTTACTCATATTGCAAAATAAAAACAATATCCCGGACGGGGCGCAAATGAATCACTCTCTGTTGACATCATTAAAGTGTGCTTAGTTAATCGGGGGGAAAAAGCACGAAACACAATCAGCTCTTTATAATGAAGTGATGTCAGTTTGCTGGGTATTGCAGTGAACGACATGCCAATGCCCGGCGTGTCATGGGGTTGGCAGGATCGTAGCTCGGCGCTAGTGAAGTGAGGAAAGAGTCCTGGCTCAGTGACTGAGTAACTAACTCTGTGCGTGGCCCCTCGTTACCCCGTGTGGCAAGAAACCGGCTGCTTGCAGAGACGGAAACCTTTGCACTGGGAGTCGGAGAAAATGGGGTAATAAAGGGATTGAGTTGAGAGGCCGTTTTTAGCACCTCGGAGCTGGGCTCAGGTCTCGGGTTAACAGGATTTGGTTTTGCTACGGGGCTGGGCGAGGAAGCAAAAGCAAACCCACAGGTGTCGTTTTAAAAAGATTTTATTAATTTGTAGAAAAAAATAAAACATCAAGTTTCACCCACGGTAGAAACACTTGAAGATTTTTTGTTCATGTCAATGACAACCAATACCTACATAAAGTGCCTATTATTTTCTCATTTAAAAAACCCTTCCCACTCCCCCCGCCCTCCCCAAATCTTGCAAATCACACAAGACAAATGTAAACAAGAGTCAGTTTTTTGGTCCATCGGGGCTGTAACTCTGTAATGTCTTTGCAACAGCTTAGGAGTGTCTTCTGCACGTGTTTTCCAGACACAGGTGAACACACTACACAGAGCCAGAGTCCGTGCACAGCTTCTCAAGTTAAAAAAAAAAAAACAACAAAACCCAACCAAAACCAACCCCAGAGCCCCAGGCAGGCGCTGGCAGGCCTCTGCCCTCCCTCCTGGAGGCGCTGCCCGAGGCTGGGTGGTTTGGGAGGGAAAGAAAAATCAAGGTTTGTGCCCTCTCGCCTGGCTGCCCGGCAGCTCACCCTTTCCCTGTCTCTCTGCCCAGAGGAGGCTGGTCCCAACGACACCCCTCTCCTGCCCTCCAAAGCCTCCCCCTTCGCATCCCTCGCTTCCAAAATGCACCCCCCCCCCCCGGGGGAGGGAGCCGATGAAAGCGATCCCTCGGGAGGAGGGAGGCTGGGGAAGAGGCGACCCCCTCTCTGCACCCTCCTGCCTGCCCAAAGTCAATTTGGAAATGACCATCTTTTCCCCCCTCCCTTCTTTCCTTCCTTCCTTCCTTCCCGTCGTGGGGCGAGCGGGGGCCCCTAGCTGATCACGCAGCGGTCCTTTTCCTTGCCGTGCCCGCCGCCGATGGCTTTCTCCCGGATGTACATGAGGTCGCTGTGGACGCTGGGTCGCCGGGCGAAGGGGGCCACGACGCCGTACGCCTCCTCCGTGCTGCCCCGGCCCCCCTCTTTCAGCAGCTTCTTGCCTTTCAGCGCCTTCTTATGCAGGATGTCGCAGTACTGGACCGAGACCTTGCGGTGCAGGTCGGGGCTCATCTCGCTGGGCAGCTTGGCCATGGCGAAGAGTGCCTGGAACATCTGGTCCAGGCTGCTGTTCTTCTTGGCGGAGATCTCAAAGTAGGCGCATTTTTTGGGGTCCCCTCCCACCAGCTGCTCGATCTCCCGGGGCTGCACCTCCCGGTAAAAGTCCCGGTCGCCCTTGTTGCCGCAGATGACCAGGGGCACCTCTATGTTCTCCTTGGTTTTGTTCTTCAGGCACGACTTGGTCTCCAGGATTTGCTGCTTCAGGCGCTGCACCTCCTCAAAGGAGTCCCGGTTGTCCAGGCTGAACACGAGGATGAACACGTCTCCTGGGGACAAAGAGGGACCGTGAGATGGCTGCAGGGACGGGGACACACACAGACACCCGCTGCCTAAGCCATACAGAGACCCGGGGAGGGAAGGACCGGGCAGCACCTGGGTCTTGCATCCTCCCATCCACCCTGCGCAGGGAGCGAAGTTGCCCACTCCGTGCACACACGAAATCCCACCTCCTTCCTCCTGGGACTGGAGAAACATCCCCAAACTGGGCAAGAAAGCCTGAAATCTGGCAAGGGAATCCCCCCCCCTCCTGGTGCTCCCCAGCCAAGTACCTGTGAGAATGGAGAGGCGGCGCATGGCTGGGAAGGGGTGGTTGCCCGACGTGTCCAGGATGTCGAGCTGGTAGACCTCGCCGCGGATGCTGTAGAACTTGCGGTGGAAGTCCTCGATGGTGGGCGTGTATTGCTCCTCGAAGCGGCCGGTGAGGAAGCGCGAGACGATGGCCGTCTTGCCCACCTTGGAGGAGCCCAGGATGACCATGCGGTAGCAGTTCTTGGCGGGGATGCTCAGCTCGGCCTCGCTGGGACACATCTTCTTGATCATCGCTGCCAGTTTCATTGAAGCCGGCGAAGGGGCAGCTTGCACCGAGAGGAAGGAGGAGGAGGAGGAGGAGGAAGGCAATGTCTGCCCGGCTGCTCAGCCCCTCTCCCCTC